TCCCCGCCAGGCAGGACCGCGCAGCCGCCGCGTCGTAGAGGCCCGCGCAGGCGATGGACGCCGGGACGGCCCCGGGCCGCCACGGCGCGTCGCCGCTGCTCGTCGGCCGGTGGTCGCAGTAGCGGCCGCCGCGCGGCGCCGCGTACGCCGCGGCCTCCGCGGCCGTCGGCCGCCGCGTCTCGCGGAAGAGGTCGAGCACGTCGGACGCGGAGCCGCGGCACACGTCCGGCGCGCAGCGGCCCGTCGTCGCGTTCACCGCGACGAGCCCGCCGACCGCCGCGGCGAGGCAGGACGCGTCTGCCGTCGCGCGCGGGTCCGGCGCCGTCGCCAAGCACAGCAGCGCGAAGCGCAGTAACGCGGGCTGCCCATCGATCGGAGATGTCATGCCGAGCTGCAACAGTCTTCAACTTGGTCAACAAGAGCATCAATTATAAACGTTGCCGCTACCCTCGGCGATTCGCCAGCCCCCTCGACATCGAGTGACCGCCTCGAGGATGCGCGGGGATGCGACTTAGGCCGGGGCCTAGACGGCGCCGGCGCGGCGGGCGAAGAGGGCGACGGCGACGGCGGCCTGGTAGGCGCGGATGGCGTTGCGGCCCATGAAGTTGACGGCGACGCCGGCGAGCGTCGCGGCGACGAGGTCCGGCGACTTGGCGACCGTCGGTGCGAGCTTGTACCAGGAGTAGAAGGTCGCGAGGTAGGACGCCTGGTAGACGAGGAACGCGGTCCGCGGCCCCATGTAGCCCTTGAACTTGAGCGTGTGGAGGAACATGGAGATGGTCGTGGCGAAGCAGGAGAAGACGAGCATGAGGTGGACGTGGCGGATCTCCGCCGCGTCGAGGCGGTCGAGGAACCGCGCGTAGTTGAGGAAGTAGCCGATGAAGTGCTTCGCGAAGACGTAGAAAGTTTTCGTGACCCAGGTCTGGACGCGGAAGAAGGTCGCGTTGCGCGCCGACACGTTGCCCTTGCGGCCGTCGCCGCCGCGGAGCGAGTCGCGGAAGCTCGTCTTCGGGAAGCAGGGGCGGACGACAACGTAGGGCAGCGCGACCATGACCGCCTCGACGGCGTTGCCCGCCGCGGAGCCCGCGAGGAGCGCGCGCGCGCGCCCGGTCATGTAGACGCACTGGAAGAGCAACAGGCCGGCGAAGTACTGGTTCTCGGCGATGAAGCTCCAGCTCATCGTCGACTTGTCCCTGCGAGTGTTCGCGGCCTCGCGCGGGCGGGGGAAGAAAGGGGGCGACGCACGTGTAATAGCCGGGATCCCTCTGCTTCTTGGGCAGGAACCAGAAGGTCCTTGTCGCCACGACGGCCTGGGCGAAGCCTGCGGGCGTCGGCGTCGGCGTCGCGATCGCGCGCCGCGGCTCGGGACGCGGCGGCGCGCCCGTGAGCGGCAGCGTGTACATGACGACGCCGTCGCGGAGGGCGGCGTAGTCGGCGAAGTACATGACGAGGGCGTACGTCCACTGGACGAGGTAGCTCAACCCGAGG